GACTGCTACTAGACCAAATATTGTCTTTGGAGTAGGACTGCTGAGCAGATTCATGGAAGAGTCACGTGCATGTCATTTACAAGGAGCAAAGAGAATTCTTAGATATATAAAAGGTACCCTAATCGAGGGAATTTTTTATGATAACACTAAATCTGTGAAGCTTGTTGGGTATACAAATAGTGATTGGGCAGGAGTTGTAGAAACAAGAAAAAGTACGTCAGGGTATACATTTCATCTAGGTACAGGAGCAGTATCTTGGTCTTCAAAGAAACAACCTGTTGTCGCCCTTTCAACAGCCAAAGCAGAATACATGGCAGTAGTTAGTTGTGCAACCCAGACAATATGGTTAAGATGAATGCTTGAAGTGATACATCAGAAGCAAGATACTCCCACAGTGATATTTTGTGATAACAAGTCAGCAATTGCATTATGCAAAAATCCAGTATTTCACGGACGATCCTAGCACATAGATATTCATTTTCGTAAAATCAGAGAACTGGTAAAGAAGTAGCAATCAAATATTGTCCAACTGAAGAACAAGTTGCCACTGAAAGCTGAGTTATTTTATAAGTTAAAAAGAATGTTTGGAATGATACAAGCTTGATTTAAGAGAGGCAATGTCAGTAATTAAATCAAGCCACAAATGTTAAAAATTTTGACCAGATCAAATGTTTGATTGGACCAAAACTTCCCTTACGAGAAAATTATGTAACTTTATTGGACAACATGAAGATAGCCACACTGGTAAAACTAATTGTAGGCACCACACAAAATTGTAGGGACCGTTCAATTAGAGCCACAAGTTGAAAAATTATTTTCTACTATTCCTTCTTGAATGAGTTATCTAAAATTAATATTATAATGATTTGTAAAGTCTATAAAAGGCTAATCTTATACTAAGAGTATTCATCAATTTTATATTGAAATATATTAAGCAGAAAATCTCTCTTCCTCTCTCTCTCTCGTTTCTACTAGAAGTGTGTGAGTATTTTTGATAAAATTATGTCCCATTGTCAAATCTCCCTTAGGCTTTGTTTGGTTGGAGTGATTTGAGAGAGTGGGAATGGGAGTATGAAAAAGGAGGAATTTGAAGAAAAATGGAGGTGAAATTAAAGTTGTTTGGTTGAATGGAAAGTGAAAGAAAAGTTTATGGAAAATTGTGAGTGATTTGATTGATATGAGATATAAAAATTATAATTTTAATTGATTATTTAAGAAAATTACCATTTTACCCTTGTGTATAAAATAAGGTTAAAATTATTATAAATATAATTTTTTAATTAATTATCCATATTTTAACATTGATTATATATTTGAAAGAAAAAAAAATTAAAAGTGTTTGTAAGTGGAAACAAATTTAAAAAATTAAATTTTTTTAAAATAGTTATTAAAAATTATATAAATAAACAATTACAAATTTATTTACATTACATATCCATAAAAAAATAATTTTGACATATTAAATAAATTATTTGACTAATAATTAAATAATTATAAAATATAAAATAATAATTAATATTGACTAATAATAACAAATAATTATGAAAACTAATAATATAATTGTAAATTATTATTTTAAATAAATATAAAATATAGTGAAAATATAATAATAATTAAATGAAAAATTCATGTAAACTTAATAGTAAAAATATTTTATTATTTAGTTAAAAATTATATTAATACATATTTAATATATATATATATATATATATATATATTCTAAAATATAATTTATTTTAATTTCTATAATATATATATAAATGAAAATAAATTATATTTTGGAATATATATTTTATATTATAGTAATTAATATAAATTATATTTTAGAATATATATATATATATATATATAATTTTACATCAAAATATTTTGAAATAATCGAGATTTTAGATAGCGGTTTTAGAACTAATCACTATTAAAAATAGATTTTAGATAGCGGTTAACGTGGAACCGTTATTATATGTTACTTTTAAGAGCGGTTAAAATGGAACCGTTATCATATATATATCACTTTTAAGAACAGTTAACATTTTAATCGCTCTTAAAAGTGAACATATAATAAGCGGTTCCACGTTAACCGCTATCTAATATATATTTTTAATAGCAGTTGGTTCTAGAACCATTATCTAAAATCTCGATTATTTGAAAAATTATATATTCTAAAATATAATTTATTTTAATTTCTATAATATATATATATATATATAAATGAAAATAAGTTATATTTTGGAATATATATTTTATATTATAATAATTAATATAAATTATATTTTAGAATATATATATATATTTTAGAAGAGGCACTGTGTGTGGATTCAATGCACTGTGTCTTCACATGGAGGAGATGGAGAAGGATAAATACGTAAATTATCATTTGATGATATATGTTTCTCTACGTATCTCTTTGTTTAAGCGAGTGAGCTTTCTTCCCACTCTCCCTCAAATAATCTTTCGCATATCCTCTCATGTTAGTTAAAACAAACAATACCATATTGGCTTTTCTATACTTTTGAACAATAAATCACTACAAGCAAAACACAGTGTTAAAGCCACGTCTTCTCATTCACATTTCTTAGTTTCTGTTCATACTGCACTTTTTGTCTCTCTCCATCATGCACGATCTATGTCTCCTAGCAGTTATTCCCTTGCAAGTCATGCTAACTTGGAGAGCTGATTTACTGCTCCTCTTTAATGTGGTCCTTTAAATTCTATTCTTGAAAAGTCATTACAACTCAAAGCTATGAAAGACAGGCAGGGAATAGCCATTTTCTAAATGTCAGTCTCATATACAGTACTGACTTTTGCAAGACACGAGATACCAAATCTTGGATCTGCTGTATAAATAATATAAATAATAACAATGTGTCAGAATTAAACACTATCAGTTTGATTATACAATAAACAGATTCTGCATACAATCATTTCATGTATCACAATGCAAAAGTTCATCCCAAAGCTATCCTAAAGTAAAATGGAAGGGAAAGAACAGTCAAGTACAATAAAAGTTTTTTAAGAAGGCGATTCCTATCAAATGCAAAAACTACAGAGTTGTAAGATTTTATTTTGGGGAAGAAATCCACAGATTTTCCAGAAAGAAAAGAACCAAGGGCCTGGGAACAACATTCAGCCTTAAATTTCAACCATGCTATTCTCCCAATACTATTTCTGGCAAAATTAAATTTCTAAACTTCTAAACTATTCTGCATTTTCATATAGAAGTATAGCCAATCATGTATCTAGTGTCAACTCAAATTTTTCCCTAGGGCAAAGACCAAGAACTTGAAGTCCAATAATACTTTAGATGGTTTTCGTATATAGGTAAAAATAAACTCCAATCAAGGATGTGTTGCCATACAGTACAAACACAGAAGAGTTGAGTTTACACAACATGATGACACAAAAAATTATATGAAAAATAAGGCTCCAACGCTTCCAAGCACAGACGGACAACAAATATATCACAATAAAATAAACAAACCAACACCCATCTCCAAAAAATCTCTCTTCTTGTATTGCAGTGGCCACAGCAACAGCCTCCTGCTCATCAGTTATGAATTCCAGTAAATGACAGTGAAATCGATTATATACTGACATTTTTACTTACATTCAAAGGGGAAAAAGCTTCATCTTGCATAGACTTGCACCTTTAACTTTATTTAGACGTCTTTCCGTAAAACTAACATCCAACATACACAAAAATGCTAATTAAAAAGGATAAAGAGTGCACAGCACTGCCCCATGTGGCTTGGGAAGACAAAGAAAAAAATGCAATCCAAAGCACCAGACCCCCACCTAGTGGTCTGAGAAGGCTAGATATAGGAAGCTTTATCCTTGCAAGCAGAGGGGCCGTTCCCCGAATTTAAACCTTCTAAACTTATTGTTGCACAAAGACTTTCCCTCTTCTAATGAACTGTTCATAACATAGATCAAGAAGCACAGACAAAGGTTCTAGTTATTCAGTTCAGCTGTCACTCGTCAATGAAATCAAATCAAAAGAAGAATTAACTGATGAAGAGACTAACAAGGAAACAAAGTCAAATTCTTTTAAGGTTCCTAAATATTCTTTTTCGGACAAAATTTAGGTTAGAGACATTCCGCTTTTGGAACTGTTCTTCCATTAAAAATTAGAACATAACCTCTATAACCAGCACGATTTATTTAAATAAAACTCTAATCTTAATTAAAAAGTAATACAAAAAATATTCAAGTAACTAAGTCTGAATTTGGCCCAATTATTTTTCCTCACAAGCCCACAATAATATCTGAAATCAAGAACGTTCTGGAAACTATAATTGTAATACCATGAGAAAAGCGAAGTCGCCCTCTATCGAAGATAAGGTGTCAATTTAAACAGAATTGTAAGACAGAGAAAGTGAAAAGGGACAAACGACAAATGAAATTCATCTGCTTATCCTGTAGAGCCTCAGCAAACCTCTTCACACTGCATAAACCATATATTGCCAAAGTGCAAAATTTAAACGCGCGTAGCGAATCAATCATTCAATAATCAGAACAAAAAAATAGGGTAACGAAACAAAGCACCAGGTTGAGAAGTAAGGAAACTGAAACGATCGAAAAGATGGAGAAATTCCTCTCTTGTTAGCATTACAGTACTTTGCGTCCCAGATGCCATGCCATTTGCAACGCTCACTATGTAACTTAACCGAAAAGATTAAGGAACAATTTTAGGCTCAACCCTTTCCACACATTTCACTTTCAAATCAGACACCACTTTAACCATATGTTAATTTACCGATAAAAGAAAAGACAAATTTGCAAGTTAACATTTTCCCTTCACATTATCCTCAATTAATTATCATTATTATCATTTTAAAAGAATAAAAAGGCAAAAACCCGGGTACCTGAAAGTATACTTTATCATTCTTCAAGGAGAAATCAGAAACAAAGAAAAAAAAAAAAAAGAATATAAAATACTATGCCTGACAACGGTAAAATACAGGGAAATATCAGCATGAAACAGTAAAACTGAATCCAATAAACTAAAAGTCCTCATCCATCTTGAAGACGTGGGTTCCACCGTTACCGTTCAAGCTGGACATAACGGAAGCCTTCTGGTATTCCCCTACGCGCTTTTCGAAAAAGTTGGTCTTCCCCTGCAGCGAAATCAGTTCCATCCAATCGAACGGGTTCTGCACATTATACACTTTCCCGCAGCCAAGCGCACCAAGCAACCTATCAGCAACAAACTCAATGTACTGACTCATCAAGGCCCCGTTCATCCCCACCAACGCGCAAGGAAGCGCGTCGCACACAAATTCCCTCTCGATGTCCACAGCATCGCGCACGATCTCCCTCACGCGCTCCTCGGGGAGCTTGTTCCGCATGAGAGAGTAGAGCAGGCACGCGAAGTCGCAATGGAGCCCCTCGTCGCGGGAGATGAGTTCGTTGGAGAAGGTGAGTCCAGGCATGAGGCCTCGTTTCTTGAGCCAGAAAATGGAGCAGAAGCTTCCGGAGAAGAAGATTCCCTCGACGCAGGCGAAGGCGACGAGGCGCTCGGCGAAGGACTCGGCTGAGTCGATCCAGCGGAGAGCCCAGTTGGCCTTCTTGGTGACGCAGGGAATGGTGTCGATTGCGTGGAAGAGATTGTTCTTCTCTTCGGAGTTTTTGATGTAGGTTTCAAGAAGAAGGCTGTACATCTCGGAGTGGATGTTCTCGATGGCGATCTGGAAACCGTAGAAGGCGCGGGCCTCGGAGACCTGGACCTCCTTCATGAAACGGCCCGCGAGGTTTTCAAGGACGATGCCGTCTGAGGCGGCGAAGAAGGCAAGGACATGGGTGATAAAGTGACGCTCGCCGTCGGTGAGGGAGTCCCAGTGGCGGAGGTCCTGCGAGAGGTCGACCTCCTCCGCCGTCCAGAACGAGGCTTCGGCTTTCTTGTACATCTCCCATATCTGGGGGTATTGGATAGGGAACATGCAGAATCGATCAGGGTTAGGGGCGAGAAGAGGCTCTTCGGGGATTGAAGGCATTTTGGGATTGGAACTGGAGAGAAAGAAAGTTGATTAGGTTTTGAAGATTGCGAGTTAGGGTTTGAGTTTGAGAGAGGAGAGTGAAGGGTTTATATAAGGAGGGGACTGAAAATTGGAGCGGGGAATTTGAAAATTTAGAGGTAAAAGCTTGCGGGAGAAGATTGGAGGAGGTGGGAGTGAGGGGTGGTTCGGGGATTTTGCAGGGGCGTGTTGGAGAAGCTTTATGGTTTTGAAGGAGAGTGTTTGCGGCGCGAGGGAGCGATATTTATTGTTTTGGTGGGAAATTTGGGTTCGCGAGATATTTGGAGGGTTTGAAATTGAAATGAAGAGTGTGGAGAACGTTGGTACGGTGCCGTTTGGTGAAATTTGATTGAAACCCACGTGCTTGGCCTGTTTGATTTTTCAATTCTTATCCGTTAGCATCCAACACTGTCCACGATTTCAATACTGTCCGTACTCGGTTTAAGACGATACACGTGTGGCCACGCTCCGGGGAATGGGTATGTGCACGTCACCAAAACGTTGGATAATTTATTTCGGTTTATTTATATATTATTATTTAAAATCTATTATCAAGGTTTTGTTACGTAAAATTATTATATGCAAGTTTTATTCAGATTTATTGATTTTATTAATTTTTAATCTTTAAAAGATACTATAATATTTTATATAATTATAATAATTAAGATCCTTACAGTACATGTATTTTAAATAAGTTAATCAATAAAATATTTGTATATTCAAAATATTTTAATTGTATACAATACATTAACTAATTTATTAAAATTTACTGAATATGTTTTTCAATTAAGTATTTTTTGTTATCAGAATACTATAATAATTTACTTTCGATATATATTATAATATTAATATAAATTATTATTTTGTTATATTAAATACTATTATAATGAATAATCACTACTACAAATAAGGATTCGAACTCAAGACTTAATAGTTGGAGGCCGATACTCCAACCACTAAACTACTCAAATTTTTTTATAATAACTTACAAATAAATTATATTTATATACAAATAAATATATATCCATGTAAATATATAAATACAAATATATTTATATATTTTGATATATTTATATAATTATATATTTATATGTTGGATGTGAGAGCACGCTCGAAGGTGAAAGTGTGTCGAGTGAGTTTTCAAAATTTGATGTCAAATTTGTGAGCTGAGTCTCTTTATATGGGTTTGTAATTTAACGACGTAATATAATATTTATAATTTATTAATGATATAAAATAAATATGAGAAACGCATCATTCGCTCAAGCGAAAAATACCAATTTTCGCTCAAGCGAGGCTTGAACGAGTGAATTTCCGTGAGTTTTAACGTATTTTCACTCAAGCGAGAGTCAATCTCACTTTCACCTCGAACGCGCCTTCACATCCAACATATAAATATATAACTATATAACTATATAAATATATATAAATATATCAAAATATATAAATATATTTGTATTTATATATTCTATATTTATATATTTGCACGAATATATATTTATATGTATATAAATATAATTTATTTGTAAATTATTATAAAAAAATTATAGTAGTTTAGTGGTTGAAGTATCAATTTTCAACTCTAAAATACTCGGGTTCAAAAAATCCTGTTAGTGACAATTCTCTAACTTAAGTAAATTTTTTTTGAAAAAAAAATAAAAACACTTTCCAGAAAATATATATATTTACACTGATATATATTTATTTATATATAAATATAATTAATTTGTAAGTTATTATCAGAAAATTACAAGTAGTTTAGTGGTTGGAGTATCAACTTTTAACTCTAAAATATTGGGTTTGAATCCTATCAGTGACAACTCTCGAATCGAAGTAAATTTTTAGCTGAAAAAAATAAAAATACTTTCCAGAAAATATATATAAATAAATATATATTTACACTGATATATATTTATTTGTATATAAATATAATTAATTTGTAAGTTATTATCGAGAAAATTACGAGTAGTTTAGTGGTTGGAGTATCAACTTTCAATTCTAAAATACTAGGTTCGAATCTCGTCAGTGACAATTCTTGAAATTAAGAGAATTTTTGGGTGAAAACACATTCAACGTCGGTTCATCTGGAACCGACGTTGAATGTCTAAATTAAAAGACTTTCAACGCTCGGCTCATCTAGAACCGACGTGGAAAGTGCTTTCACGTCGGTTGACTAAGAACCGACGTAGAATGTGTCCAACATTCCACTTTCAACGTCGTTTTTTAACCAACCGACGTTGAAAGTGTATTTAACGCTTCGGCTCAGCTTTAACCGACGTTAAATGGCGACGTTGAAAGTATATTTTGTAGTAGTGAATAATGAATTTTACATATTTATTATAACTTTATGATTATAATAATGAATTTTACATATTTATTATAACTTTATTTATATCATTTATGACAAATGTATGGAAACATAGTATAGTTCATTTATTTTTCTGTTAAATGTCGCTGAAATTGTTGTTTTATTTTTAATTTTTAAACATATGTAATAATTAAAGTAATTAGAATAAGTATATGTTTTTATTTAAAATAATTATATATATAAAAGTAATCAAAGTTATTTTAAATTAGTATGGTTGATTGACTCCTAAATAATATAAAACTTATGAACACTAGAAGTCCTCCACTTGAGGATGAGTAGAGTAAGATTTTGCACTCAGTCCATGGTGGGTACCAATTTAGCTTAAGAACGTGAGTATTCCAACCTCATATCCACTATAACATACTTTTATTTTAGATATTGTTCATTTTAGAGCTTTTATCCATCATAATTTTATCCTTAATAAAATATCTCGATAGATTAAAAGAGGAAGATATATATAAATTAATTTTAACTTCAATTTTTAACTAATATAAGACTAGTAAATTAATCAAAACAAATATAATTATATTTTATTTTTTAAACTAATTAGATGAATGATAAATCATATATATTCTTTATCACTCTACTGGTATTTTATACTTTATTGATAGAGATAAAAAAAAATAATGAGTTGTGAAATTTTTTTATTATATTTTATTCTTTTTATTATATATTTCAATTTTTTTATTTGTTATTTTGTATTTGACCACTCCTACGCATTATTGTTTTACTCTTTTTTGTTACCTATATTTTATTATTAATAAAGGTGAAAATTTTATGAAAAAAATTATGGATAAATCACGATATTAGTAATTTTTAAGGTTGAGATATATTAATTAATTTCTTCTTGTACAACTTGCATTACAATAAATAATTTATTTACTTGCAAAAATTTAGTTATTGATTTAAATCCATAGGTAAATTGGAATTTACATAAATATTCTTACATACAAGTTTTCATAACCTACAAATTTTTTGGTAGATAAGTGTGAATTACTTACAAACAAATTTTATTAGTAGAAAATTTGGATCTCATAAAGCAAGAACCATTTTTAAAGGATATAATTTGTAAGTATAAATGATATAACCATAGTTAATTTAAGTGAATCCTTACATGTAAATGTTATCTATGAAATAGTAAAATATTTTATTAAAAGGTTAAAATAAAATATTAATATCCTAAGTTTTTTATATGTCTTATCTTATTTTCACGTATAATCATAACATCTTTCGTTCCAAGATTCATGCTCTAATTAATCTCTCCTCCTTCCACCAAAATTCATCTTCATGTATCACCTCATTCTTTTCCAAATCAATTTATGAACATCCTCTCCTTCATTCCAAAATCAATCTTTGTACGTCATCTTCTTCATTAAATCCAAATCTGAAACCCTTATGGAATGAACTTGAAAACTTTAGGTCAAATTCCGTTTGTAGTTGGTAGACTAATGTTCTTGTTAGATATTTCTTTTTATCTCTCAAAGAAAAATTGAAGATGGGACAATATAGTTCTTAAAAGGATTAAATTAATACAATAACATAAAGTCACATGTTCTCTTAATAGACCCTATTCCACCCATATCTAACATTTTTTCATATATTGTTCAACAAGAAAGGCAAACCATGGATAGTAATTTCTTTTCTTCTTTTGATATCCAAACTACTATTATTGTCAATTCTTTGACTTGTTCTTCTTGTGGAAAGGTTGGTCATAATGAAAATGTTTGTTTAAAAAAAATTAGTATCGAATAAAAATACTGGAAATAGAAAAATGTGTGTTCACAATGGCAAGACTGGTCAAGCGATTGAGTTTTACTACAAGAAACATAGATTTCTTCCGTGTCATAAGTTATATAATGGGAAAAATAAAAGTTTTAAGGTTACGAATAGGATCAAGAGATGAGATTGACTCCACAACAATATCATGCTTCAATGACTCTGATAAACCAGAATACTAATTCCAATATATCTCAAAATCAAATTAGCACTATTTCATCAAAAACTCATGAACAAGGTAACATGTTTCCTATTGTTAATTCTTTTCAATCTTAAAACATTATTACATGGATCCCGGATTCAGGAGCTACTAACCATGTTACTATGTCATTTAACAATTTTTGTTCAAATAAACAAATTAATAATGTCACTATTAAACTCCCTAATAGCTTGAAAATTGGGGTTACTCATAAAGGTTCTATGAATTTGTGTGATGAAATTATTCTAACAAATGTTTTATGTATCCTTGATTTCAAATATAATCTTATTTCTATTTATAAACTTGTTTCACATTTAGATATACAAATTGTTTTTTTCTAACACTGATTTCTTTATTCAAAATAGGAAAACAAGAATGAAGATTGGTTCAATTAATCAATATGTTGGTTTGTATACTTTAGTCATTGTTATCATTTTGTCAACAAAATTGATAAATGTAATCTTAATAATTTGTGGCACAATAGGTTTAGACACATTTATGATAAAAGACTAGAGATTTTAAAACAAAGATATCATTTTATGCATTTTAGAAAAGATCATTGTAAAGCTTGTCATATAGTCAACCAAAAGAAACTTCCTTTCCTCCATAATAATTCTTATGCTTTTAAAATTTTTGACACCATTCATGTTGATATATGGGGACCCTCTTCCACATCTTTACATGAACACAAGTATTTTCTCATTGTTATTGATGACCATAGTAGATTTACATGGGTTTATACTATGCAAAATAAGTTTGAAACTAGAAAGAATCTTAACTTTATAAACTATGCTAAAAACCAGTGATAATGGTAATGAGTTTAATATGAAAGATTATTTTAATTCAAAAGACATTGTTCATCAGACTATTTGTAATGAGACTCCTAAACAAAATGAGATTGTTGAAAGAAAATATCAATATCTCGTAAATGTCACTAGAGCTTTGTTTTAAATCGATCATAAATCTAGATTTACCACATATCAAGGATAACTTTAGATCAAGTAAACATCGACCATAGCTCTAAACCTCAGTTATATCTTTAGATCAACCACACCTTATAGATAATTATAGATCAAGCACACATTAACCATTGTTTTAAATCGAGTATACCTTAACAATAATTATAGATCAATTGGACATAGGCCATAACTTTAAATTGAGCACATGTTGACCATAACTCTAGATCGAGTACACAATAGACCATAACTCTAAATCGAGTACATCTCAATCATCACTTTAGACCAAGCACATCTTGGGAATAAATTTAGATAAAAAACACATTGATAATAACTTTAAATAAATTACATCTCGAGGATAACTCTAGATCGAATACACCTTGGAGTAGCTCGACCTCGAGCACACCTCGATTATAACTTTAAATCAAACACACATCGATAATAACTCTAGAATGAACATACAACAATTATAAATTTGGATCAAGCACTCATTGGCCATAACTTTAGATTGAGTACACCTTGACTATAGTTGTAGATCAAGCTTGATCCTAACTTTAGATCAAACACACTTTATAAATAGTTCTAGATTAAGCAATCTCAATCATAACTTTAGATCTGCTGCATCTTGATCATAACTTTAGATTAAACACTCCTTATACATAACTCTGGGTCAAGCATACCTACCAATAACACTAGATCGAGCATGTTAGTATTATGGTGCTTGATTTAGTCCCACATCGATTAGGATTGTGAGATGAGGTTCTCTATTTTGTTATATAAGCAACCCTATGTAAAGTTTGAGATACACACAGAAATAAAAATTACTTCCTAGTGTAGTCGTGGACGTAGGCATACATATTTTAGCCGAACCACGTTAAAATTCTTGTGTCGTTTATTTTTCTCTCCTTCATTCTTTCTTTTATTATTGTCTTGTTCCTAACAATTGGTATCAGAGCCAAGGTCACGAGTTCGATTCCTGGTGGGCAATTGTTGAGGGGGAGATTGTTGCAGGTTGCACAATTGTCCCGTGGCAGAGGCCGGGTGGGCCAAGTCACAATCCAAGAGTGGGATACCTTGTAGGACAATTGCTGAGGGGGAGATTGTTGCAGGTAGCATCAATTGTCCTGTGACGAAGGTCAGGTGGGCCGAGTCACAATTGAATCGTGGCGCTTGGGCTGTTAAAGTAAAAAGAGTTGTGCTCTGACTAATGGCTATAGCTTTTGGCCTAGTGGTAAGCGCTCGATCCTAACAGAGCACACCTCAGCCATAATTATAAATCAAACACACATCGATGATAATTCTAGAATAAGCACACATTGCTCATAACTATAGATCAAACACACTTTTATCATAACTTTAGATCGAGTACACTTTGATCTTTGTATAACCTCAAAAATCAATAGTTTGAATAAAACTTAACTCAAGAAACATAGATGGCCATAAAAACTTTAGGTCATCTAATTTGACCTAATCATACCTAAAAAAAACAAAATAATTTAACAATTGACTCATATAAAACTCATTCATATTTTACATTCTCAAATTTTAAACTTGAAATACTTATATACTTATCCTAATTTGAGTACCAAGTACATAACAAAATTATAGAGAATATATGATATCAATACTATTAAAACTCATATATTACTCTATATCAATAATAATTATAAATTTTCAATAAATTTTATTAAATTTATATCACAATATACTCTATCATTATTTGTTTATTAAATTATAAATAAAAATAAAGTGTCTCTTGTCCACCTAATTATTGATTTTAATAGTCAAAAAGTCCTTTTAAATATACTTTTCATTTTTCTCATATATCATCATTGTCTGCGATTCAAAACCTCCACCTCATATGGTGGGTCATATACATGTAATTTCTAGTACAAACAATAGTTAAAACATTTACTTTTTATATAGTATGAATCTTAATTGCTAATATTTGGAAGTACAATTGAAAAAAAATTGTCATCAAATTAAATTTTGTTCTTCAATATACTATTTGACAAATTTATTAAATTTTAAGCCGTAGATATTTATTACTATTAAAATTTAATTTAAAGCTTCAATAAAAAAATGTTTACAATTAGGAAATTTAAAACTGAAAATAACTAACCCAAGCTTAAACTCTAAACTAAACACGCATTCTTGATCAGCATGGTTGATGTTAAATTTTGTATTTAATGTTCCGTGTTATATGTGGCATAAAATTTGTTAGAAATCTGGGTATTCATTAATTTATGATTAGACTGCCCGATTTTTGGATGGTTGTAGATATTTCTGTATCAGTTATGGGTGATATCAAGATCAATTCAGAAAAAACTTAGTTGTTGACAGTTGTCACAGCATGTGACTCATTTGAAAAGGAGTAGAAACAAGTTAAGGTCACTAAAACTACAGAAAAAACTGTACAAATAATGACTGTTGAATCAACATTGCAGTTTGAAGTAATGTGCTTTTTCCAAAATCTTCTCAAATAGGATATGTGTTATATGCCCCTTTATGCACGAGTGTTAGTAATATCTTCGCTTTGGATTACCCGAATAGATTTCATCTGATGAATGTTGTTCACCTATGGTGTAGCTGGTACTGGCTTCATCAACCCTGGTATCCCCAGAGAAGCTAGCTTTTGCAAGCTCCCTTAACATCTTTAGCTCTTTTCTAAGCCCAGCCTTGTGCCCCTTTAGCCATTTACCTTCCACTTCAATGTGAGAGCTTGCACCCGTGTCTAATGTTGTAGGATGTCTTCTTTCAATAACATTGTGGCTGGGTGTGCTTGGACTTTGCACAGGGACTACAGTAGCAGTCATGGCACTAATTGGATCCATATATCCATTTCTATTTCTTCTTTCAAATTCTGTTCCTGTACCTATAGGATTGATTGAAGGCTGGTCTGTTTCTGGTTGAGAGGTTGTGGATATCACACTAGACCAATGCTTGCTTGGAAGAAAAGGCAGGATGAGTCCCTTGGCTGCAAACTTTAATCCATGCCTTAAAGTTTTATTCTGAGACTGTGAGAGTTTCAATATGGTATATACCATTGTATACCATTGGTTGGTGAGCTGAGCAATGAAGGTTAACATCAGAAGAAACAGCATGACCAATTCCCATGTTTTAGCAGCTTCAACTGAGTTTGAACCATTCTGTAGGATTAAAATAACAAACACACCTACCTCACTCAAGAGAGAAACACTTTCCACAACCTGTACACTTCTACTGATATATGGTTTGGTGGTAAACAGATAAATGAACTGTATCAATGTGATTATCAAAGCGAAAAGGCTTTTATTTGAATTTTCTGATGGGTAAGCTACGGATATTATTCCCAAACCTACCCTTCTTAGTAAGTCAAGGATGATATAGGATGCTCTAACGCAGCCCAGTACCCTCTTGAATTCAGGGTTTTTGATTTCCTCATTGCTGTCTTCTGAACTCACTGTCTTCGTTCTTCTCATCCCACTTTGGCCACTTTCAGTCCACTTGGATATGCTATTTGATTCATTTTGATCGCCTATTATGAGTTCTTGGGGACCCTTCCAATCATCAAAGAGAATTCCAAAGCGTGAGAGGAAAGAGGAAGGTAGCCCATTCCTGTCAAACCACTTGCCAGTCGTAGGCCTCCCAATAAAAAAGAACAATAGCTTCTTGTACCATTTTTCTTCAGTTGTTACTTGTTTGCATTCTTTGTATTGGGCAAAAGTTCCGGAGTAGATTGCAATAATTAGAAAGAGAAATACTGATAAGATGAATGCTACAGGGATTGCTAGTAACAACACCCCAGTAATGATTCCCCCTGTTGTACCACCTGCATATAAATGTAGCCTCCAGGGATGAAATAAGTTTACTCATGAATTTATACTTAAAAAATCAGTTTTGAAATATTGTAAATTTAGATGACTGGAATAGACAATGTTGTAGCTAGTTGCTTACCTTTTATTACAAATGTTGATGACTGAGAAAGACAAGGTAACATGAGAATCAGAAGAAATAGCTCAAACCTAGGAACTGATAAACTGCCTTGAGGTGGTCTCCCTGTCCTCTGTCTTAGGAAGAATATAATGAAAACATGAACTAAAACTAAACAGCTTCCTCCCACGCCAAGCCAGAATAAGTTCATCTCCATGTCCTGCCACCTGTTGATAAGAAAAGAAATCTCAAATGTTCTTAATCCTGCAAATTCAAAAACTTTTTTTTTTCCTGTTACTGATGACCACAATTAATTGTAAGTGAATGTCTTGAGCCTAATAATGTTTAAACATAAAAAGTTAATGAATTTGTGACGATAACTACCCTTTGTAACTCTCCATTACTTTGATGACGTTGCTAGCAGACAACGGTTCTCCTCTCTACAAGGAAGATGAATCAGTTGCAAACACGTTTCTATTCACATACTTCCTTTAAAGTTGATGTTAAACTCACCAAGAAATAAGTGAAATATTCGACGGAATTGAGAGGTAGACCATACAGTGTACTTGTCTTACTTATATCGTGCTGATTATGTAGCCGACCAGATTTGGTGGCATTTTCAGATTGAAATGATAGTTTGTGATTAATATAAGACAAGTTCACGAAGTCATTATGTTGTTGATCTTTGTTATAATGCTCTCCTGCAGACAGGCCATTACTTCTCCCTTCAAGTTTCTCTCTTTCCCAGACCGAAGACCAAGTGTCATGATTTTTCCAGGGAAGCTTGTGATGAGGAATGAGCCACCGCAGACCTCTTGTAGTCTCACAGTATTTGATATACTGATTAGTTGAAAACCAACTTGTGAGGGCAAAGACTTGTAGGTGTCCAACCACTCCCTGTAAAATGTTTCAAATGTTTAAGATAGCCCTTGAATAGAAACGATGTATGTGTTTGAATAACTCTAAAGAAATTGAACAATTTGTGTTCTAGTTAAAGTACCAAACATTAGTTTCTTTACTTACATGTAGGTTAGTGAATGGATTGGAAACAGGACTGCTGGTACCTCCCAAAGCAAGAATGCTTAATGCTTCTAAATTTGCTGAGGAAAGTGAAACCATAGCAGCTACCAATGATGTTGCCATTGTTCCAGCATTGATAAAAGAGTACAGTGCAACGGATATTGCAGGGGTGGAATCTAAAGATACACAATATAAGAGTTTGAGTCAAACTACATATAAGTCCATGCTCTGTCACTAATTATATTCTGAAATTTTGCTTAACTTTGCAGTCAACTTAGATTATCATATTTTACATATTTAAATATGTATTAGATTTAGATACAAACATCTAGCATGTAAGTCTGCTATTAACACAGTAAGGCTTCTAGCATAATAAAATCACTATAAACCTTATCAAGCCTGACAAACTGCATGATTATGTGGTGTTATCCAATGCTTTAAAAATTGAGCAAATTTCTTGGTCAAACTAGTAATCAAATACACATTTTTTTTAATATTATCTGATAAAGTAACATAAAATCCTAAAAAATCAAGTAAAATTTTGTAGTATATCTCTTGTAAAATAAAAATTAATAATAAGATTAAGAGGTTAAATGATAACAATTTATGGTAGAACCTTTATAACTAAAATTACCCCTTATTTGATTAAAAGATATTCTTGGATAAATGGAAATATTTTAAAAATTACAAAAAAAATTAAAATTATCAATTCAAATAATCATTACTAATTTTACTTATGTTTTGAATAGATTCTCCCTAGTTCTGAAATAATTAAATATTTTGGATTTAATAGACTGAACCGGGTGATTTAGTCTGAATATATTAACAATGGTATCTAAATTTTGAATTGTAAAAAACGAAGTGTAATATGAAAACCATTTATTATATAAGAAACAAATGGAAGGAAAAAGAGATTTTCATACAATGCTGGATATCAAGCTGGTTAGATGCCAAATTTTCATTTCCTGAAATATCAGTTACCTTCCCAACAGGAATGGTAACTGACACATCCTTTGTCGCTGCTTGGACAGTAAACGAGTATAAAGCTCTTGATAGTTCCTTAAACCTACATGAAACAAAATGAAGATTTTTTACATTACTTGAACCATTGAAGAAATACAATATTTATAACTGAACCTTTTGTGTTGAGCCATCATGCAAAGACTATCTGTAGTGAATGCTTATTGTTAGTTTGCTACACCTGCCTTATCAATCTTCCTCCGGAGACTTCTACAATAGATGCCCCAAAGCCAAATACTGGTTTTGTGAACTCAGCAATTATGTTGATGTTGAAGTCCCTTGTTTCAGTGAGGGAGCTGGTCCTTAGTACCACCTTGGGTCTCATGTGATCTATAGAAAAAATTAGGATTTGGTTTAAAGTTAAAAGTTTTTAAGAAAAATGGTTATTGATACCATAAGCACAGATTGATAGCATACCATAAAGGAATGTGATGGGAGCAACAGGAGAGACAGGAGTGTCTGTCCTGCCAAATATGGATGCAGCTTGTAATTCGATGGTAATAATCTCAGTTCTTGACATGTTCTTGAGCTACAAAATATCAAGAAGTCAATTCCTATTCTACTTTTGTTACTATATGACTTCTACTAATGTTCATGGTAAGAAAACTGCTTAAATATGTCAAACAAAACTTTCTCTCTTACTTGAAAACTAAATCTGCGGGTCCCATTGCTGCTACCATGGAGAGGAGTTAAGACACCAGAGTTAACCTGTAGTGCATTTAGAACTTGTTCAGTTGAGTTTCTTATAGGAATGCTGAAGTCCAAGAAAATTATCAGGTCCTCTGGTTTGTTTGTTGCAACTACTGTTCTTGGGATACCATTAATTTTCAACTCATAAGATGAAACAGATGTCCAAAAGTCCACCATCACCGGCCTTCTATCTAAGACAAACCATTTGAATGTATGTGAGTGCCCTTAAAATACGTTTTTTTTTTTCATAGAATCATAACACATTTGAACATGGCAATCAGAACCTCACCAAAATGAATAGTCAAAGTAGAATCATGGGTTCTTGTGAACGGGTTTCCAGCCTGGTCAATGCAAGTATTCTCAGCCATTGTGATTACTACACGCCCATAAGTAATTCTTGAGGAGATCATCACTTCAAGGCTGTATTTGACACCTGGTCTAATAATTTGTAAAGAAGATGCATCCACTTGGGCAGGACCAGCTACCATAATCTTGCATGTTAAACCATAGTCAAAATATTGTCAAGGTTTTCAAGGAAAAATAAATAACAAGTCATAGATACTTTTTCCACAATTTCATCATTAGAAACCAACTTACATCACAGTTTGATGAGTTTAGGCAATGAAATCCACCTAGGCCAGAGCATGGTTCAGTGAATGTGACATCAATTGCTATCCTTTGTCCATTTGTATGGGTCTGTTTACTAGTAACGGCTGCAGTTGGGGGTATTGTATCTACACAGTGAAAATAAAATCATTAGCAAAACCCCAAAATGATGAACTGAAGTTTAGTATTATGACCAGAGAATCAGTCTTAAATGGGGTGAAGAGGAAAGAATTTGAGCTAATGCCATTTTTCTTCATTCTTCAATCTTCTAGTAATGTAAGCAAATAAATGCTCACCAATGAACCATGAGTAAAGTGAGGAATTTCTCTCTCCTTTATTTGTACTGGCAGTGAGAAGAAAGGTATGCTCATGGTTTAGAGTTAAGTTGGTTAACACAATCCCATTATCCTGGCAAGGGTAAACTTTGCCATCAAGCTGCCAAGCAAAATAATTCATAATCAACAAACTCATTCACACATCAACAGCAAATAAACACACATTTCATAACCAAATCATTGGCACTACTACATGGATGAAAACAACATATGATACTATATCGTACTAAAGTAAACCATGTCCATGCAAACCATTCACTCCTAGATTAAAAATGGTGAAGAGGAATCTCATACCTCACATGAAAATGAGCAAGAGTTTCTCTTACATGCATTGGAACCATCCAACCTCTCAACTAGATACTGAAAAACGGCATTAGGAGACCTAGACCGAAGTGGAGGAGCACGCTTGAAATAAACCAGAAGTGTTGATTCAGCTGAGACAAAGAGCACACCCACCACCATCAATGCAACACAAGCACAAAGGGGAAGAGACTTGAGTATAGCCATAGTACAAGGTGATGTTAGCATAACATTGAAAGACAAAATGATGAGAAGAAAAGGATAAAGCGGAGGAGGAGATGAGGGTGTAGGTAAGACAACATAATGCAGTTGGTGGCACATTTAATCGTCCAACGTTCATGGCTGCTATAAATGGAAGAGACATCAGTAAAAGCAACAGACAACTACCTCAACTATTACTGTCAGCCTCATTACTGTTTTTCTCAATATACCTCACATAAAATATACCTTGCTAACTCCTCGCTTGAAATTCAAACCATAACAATTCATCACTAAGCGAGACTGTAAAAAAATCATACTCTTTTTTACTTTTTTTTAATCATATTTTTCTAAAATATTCTTATTTTAATTAATGCCTTATTTTGCTTTTATATTTTTTTTTATCAGAAAGAGTGGAAAGAATTAACTCTGTAAAATAAAGATTCTTTTTTATCACACTCCCTCTTGTGTTGGTATGACTATATTATGAGAAAATTTTTACATCAGTGAAATGTTAAAAATAAAATTTCAGATTTTCATTTTAGACATTGATGTCTCGTATAAAAAGTTCATAGATTTATACCTCCCCCAAACTATTTTTATCCTTTCAAGAGAAAATTATTGTCAAAAATATTAAATGCACATAAATATTGAATGTAATTCATTTCATACCTTAAAGTTTCTTTCTTATGCAACATTTATGAATCTGGATTTTCTGATTTAATTGACAATTTGGTATTAACCTTGTACAACAAAATTTTGTCCAATTGTCTAGCATTTAAACTAGTTGTCTTCAACATAATTTATGTTTTTTTTAAATAAAATAAAATACAAGTTTACGAGATAAGGTTACTCTTTACCCGTTTAAAGGCAATAACAAATTTCTTGTTGTAAAATGCACAAAATCATTAAAAAAAAAAGGGACAATATAGATCTCTTGCCATTCATTAATTTGGTCACAACAATTTAAAGCAAGGCTATAAAAATGAATAGGAAGCAAAAAGTAGGTGTAGTATGCAGCCTTGAGAGAATATGAGCTAGGGTCATACAATAATTTAAGAAGGGACCAACTCTTATAGTGAATAAGGACCAAACTCATCTCCTATACAATTCTAATTATCAAATAACTATGTTGTTTAAGCTTAAGGACATGGGGTAAAATGAAATGAATTTACTCTAAAGAGTCTTGTGTTGTCACTTACTTTAGTTCCAAGTCAAATTAAAGATTTTGTTTTTAAGAAGTCATGTTTAGATTTAGACCTAAATAATTTATTCATTCAAATCAATTCTTTTTCATTACATTGAATGACCATAATTTAACATTAAATTAAATATTAAAGAGATTTTTTTATTTTAATTTGCAAATATTTTCTGTTTGTTTTTATTTAAGTTTGAAAAATAATTAAATTTTTTCAATTCTCAGGAAAAATTATAATAAAATGTTTTTAAATAAACTAATATAAACAAAACTTTTATTTAGGGAATAATGGTCCAAAGTCAAAGCTTTATAATCAATATTTTGTCATTGGAGATTGAGACACCAAGGAGCATTTCTATTATTTATGAGCATGTATTATTTCTTCCTTATCCTTATTTTGGAAAGAAACATTAGAACAAATTTACACAATAATAAAGATACATATCATAATTATTTTGTAGTTAATAATTCACTAATATATTTTGTCATAGATTAGGATGAAATAGCTTGTCATTAATTCAAGTAGTTAATGAGAGATGTATTCTCTTCTTATTTTATAACAAATTTTGTTATTAATTTAATCGTTAATTTGTCGTTAATTCCCTTATTGATTTAAATGATGAAGTATTGTTTTTCTCTAACTATTTGATCTCACAAATTTATAATTATTATGAAGCTAAATTGTTGTAATTTTTTCTACCTAATTCCTCCTCACAATTTGTTTCTTGTTACATCATAATTGATCTCTTGCAATTTGTATCTCACTAATTCGTAGTTATTCTCTTACAAATTGTTTTTCGTTAATCTATAACTAATCCACACAATTTCTCTCTCGCTAATATGTCCTTACAAATTGTCTATTGTTAATACGTAGGTAATCCCTCACAATTTGTCTCTTGTTGATCCATAACTAATCCCTCGTAATTATTATCTATGTCATTTGTAATTAATCCCTTATTGATTGTTATCAAACTAATTTGTAACTAATATCATTATCTAGCTAATTTGTAACTCCTTGCTAGGTAGTTAATCCCATTAATTTGTCACTATTGGCTCTTTAATATGTAGTAAAATTTGCATCTACTTTGTAACAAAATTATCTTTGTTTTGTTAATGTTATAATATCAAATGTTTTATATTAAAATAGTTACGCATATTTTTTGTAAAAAGAAAAACTAAAATTTATCAATTTTCAATATAAAAATATTATTTAAACATAGTCCAAATAATGTTTCAAATATTAAAGACATAACAAAAATAATTTTTCAATTAAAAATTATTGTATCAACTAAAAAGTACTAGATCAACACAATTAAAAATAAGAACAAAGTTTTTTTATTTTTGGAAGTACATCTTCATCTTTGTTTCTTTAAAGCATATAATATTTTTTTCTTAAAAGACTATATTTCTTCTTGCATTTGTTATTGCATAAGTGTATGCATTTCTATTTATGTTTTCTTTTGTGTTTGCATCAATGTTTGCATATCAGTTTGTGCCTACAACTGTATTTTCATCTATTCTTGCAAATTAGATATTTGTGTAGTTAAGATTGTGTTTTCATCCACTCTTGTAAATTAGATATTTGTGTAGCTAAGGTAGTTTATTTCTTCAGTAAAAAGTGTGGTAAGATTTTGAGAAGACGGACATTCAATCGATGAAGATGAACATGTGAAACAATACCAAAATCAAAACTCTGACTTATACCATAAATTCTACAATTTTTTATTTTCACCAGCAGTATTTATCCAAACATCATAAATACCTAAACTTTTACTAGGTGACTTGGGTCCAAGAATCATAAGAGTAAAAAATATGAATTCCTTTTTCATACACATACTTAGACAAAGATTTTAAAGTGTGAAAAAAATAGGTCAACATGAATATAGGTTACTTGAATAACTAAATGTATTAAAACCATCTGTGCAAAGTCCAAGTCTAACATTTCGTAGATCTTGAGCAAATGTAGGATGTGTTTCATTGAATATTTTCTAAGCTTGTGCATCAGCTGGATATGTCATAATTGATTCATCTTGGCGCACTCCATCTGCATGCCAATGCGTGTATTTTGAAGTATTAATAGACATTAAAATCTTGGAATAATGGAGAAAATATCTCAAAACTGAGTAAAGCGCATCCTTATTTTTTATATATGTCTTTGATTTAAATCGTGGTGTTTCACACACTAAGCAAACATTCTTGTCACTAATTTTCTGGTATTATAGCATGCATTGATTAGGACATGCATATATCTTTTTATATCATAATCCCAACTCATTAACCATTATCTTCGATCTATACAAATTTTCAAGCAACCTTTATGAATTTGGGAGCATATATTTTATTATAGCGATCATTATGTTAAATTCTGACTTCATATTTAAAAGTTGTGTTACGGTTGATAACTTTATATGCTTCTTATAACCATCCCATAAAGGTTCATCAACATTCCTAAAAAGTTAAAAAAACTTCTTAACTAATGGATTTGGATTGTCTTTCACTTGTAGATCTAATATAACAAAAACAACATTCATAACCATATCAACATATGGATTTTTATTATTCTCATTGCGGTCTTGGAAGACAAATATTGATACATCATCGGTCCATTTTTTCTCACCATGAAAGATCCAATTTGTGTAACCATCCAGAAAATCATGGTGACACAAATACTTTTCCAGATTAAATGATACATCCTAATAACAATTTCTACATTTTCCACATGGACATAAAATACACCATTTTACATTAGAAAATTTTAGGTCTTTTGTAGCTACTTGAATAAAACCATTAACACCATTTATGAATTCTTTTGTTATAATGTCAAATCGATCATTTATTCAGAATGTTCATCTTTGATCTAGTCTCATAACTCTTGTAATTAGTTTAACAAATGAGAAAACTACAACTTTATTGCATATTAGACGAAGTAATGCAATGCATTTAGTCAAACTATATAAAAAAATGTAGTCAAAGTGTGCCTTCTCACTTCCTAGACCCACATGTACATCTACTAGCCTTATTGCTTAAATATATATAGCCAAGTTTGATACTTCACAATTACATATGTAACTAGGCATTTGTTACAAAAGTTGATTCCTTAAAATAATATTAGTACTTGACGTAAATTAGTCTTTGTTTTTGAACAGAAAAATAACATTATTTACAAAGAAATGTACAATAAAATTTATTAATTGTTAACCAATTTTATAACCTCAATAAAGTAAGATGAAGGTGTGTTAGAAGAATATTTGTTTCTTTTGATTTAATATAGAGGTTTTGAAGAGCATGCACTTTTCCAACTTTGTCTTTTAGGGATTATAAATTGTTCAAGAAATTAAAAGAAACAAGTGGAAACATAAAAAGGAAGCTAAATAATTCTGCAACCAAAGGAAGAAATTGATAAAATGAAAGAAAAGAGAAAAAGAATACTTATGGAAGGTGTTCTCGCCACTTGGAATAAGTTCCAAGATAAGTGGAGGATGATGATCGCCACTTGTTTCATGACAAGATAAGATCACAAAATTTCAACTAAGAGATAATTTCTATCTCAAGAGTTTACAAATGCAAAACCTAATTCTCATTCAATTTCAAGTATGAGCATATAAGAGGAGTAGGGACTTTATTTATAGGCTTGGAAGCACAAGTAGTAGGAAAGAGCTAGGAAATGTGAGACTTTGGAGCAACCAAGGGAGAAATCCCACATCTCCGTGGTACTTGTTCTCCTAAATGTTTATAAGCCCAAAAAACATTAAAACAACAAAAACTAATCTTAGGTAAACTAAAACAAGCTAAAACATGTAAATGGACCAAGAATACAAGCCCTGTACTAAGTAAAAGCAATGGTGCGATAGACGTGACATTAGTGAGGATATCATTATTAGAATAGTTAAATTTACACTTTTATTTCAATATTATAAAGAACAAAATTTCTATCAAAATATCAAAAATTATTAGAATATTTTTGTTGTTATATAAATAGAAGAGTATCCTTAATTGTAAGAATTTCTTATATTATCACTTTTAAAATCCAGCTTTTGACTTGTGCATAAACTATTTTTAATCTATATTTTTTTTCCTAGAAATAATTATAAATCATAATTATAATCCTGGAAATTCATTTCAAGAAAAATGAGATTGACAATGAGTTTTTATTTACATGAAATATCTACTTTTACCTTGTGTTTGTTTGTGTTTATACATTTTCCTCTTTTCCTTTTATACTCCTTTCCCCAACAAGAAGGAAAAAGAGTAAAACTCATTGAGAGATTGGATCAAAGTTGGAAAAGTAGAACTGGTTTCAGCATGCTAAATCTTCAACTATGTGTTTTTTCAAATGCCAGCAGGGATGAGATCCTTATCGACTTCTGTTTTCTCATCAGCTTCCAATTCCATCCAATGTAAAATAGGACCCTGAACATCATATCATATTTGATTAATTACAAAGTCTAAACGATTTTTCAGGTTATATAAGTAAATGCAAACCATGTATAATAAATATGCTATATCCATTGAAGGGTATATACAAGTATTTAATGAAAAGAAAACATCTTCTCATATTTAAAACACAAAAAGCAAGTGCTTTTTCAGACCCTTATTATTATTATTGCATTGCATCACAGCAAAAGAGTGGCATAACATTCTTCAGGTGTTCATAGTGAAATTAATCAGTAACTCGTCTATCAGTAAGTTAGAACATGCAAATTTACAGCTTACTACTACCTTTCCCTGTCGTAGTACTTTGGGAGGCATTTTTGTCATGTCAACAACCGTGGATGGTTCGGCCACTCTTACACCACCATCAACAACAAAATCAAGACCCTGAACAACCAAAATAAAGGTTATACAAGCTAGATGTAACCACCCCAAAAAAGGTGTTAAGCGCTTCCCTTTCACTTTCTCCTTTTTCCTTTTAAAGTTTTCCTTTTCTACTTTCTGGGTGAAAGATATAGAATAAAGGCTATAAAAACCTATAGTAGAAAATATGCCAACTTGTGAAACCTTTTGGTATGTGGAGCCAAGTATCTGTCCTATAATAAATAGACTGCAAAGGATGTGTGCAGTCACATACTAATAAGTTTCCCAGAGAAAGACCAAGACCAATATGTAAGTATGATGTATATGATGTGGTCTATTTCTATCAAGCACAAATGCGAATAATATTTCCCTTTTTCTTTAGAGCAGGGGTCAAAATTATTATTTCCATGGTTATTTATACTGAGAAACCCTTAATAAGTTAATAAAAAGAGTGATACCTCTGGTCCATATGTATCAGCTATTATAACTGGATCAATCATCCATTCATCTTCCTTCTGGAACTTGATGCTAAAAGAAAGATGAAAAATGTCAAAAGTACTGCCTTTGTACGACTATAAACTACTATTCTCCATATTCTGTCACAACAACTAACTTTTTCTTTATTTATTTATTTTGGGGGGACGGGAGGGGTATGGTCAAAAGATATTGTTTACATAATAAATGCACTGATTAGTGTGTTTGGATGTGCGTATACAAACTCAACTTTTTATGATCTTTGTTTTTGGTTAAGATTAAGTTTGAAGTAAAGCATTTTGTATTTGGAAAGTTTTATCTCAAAAGCAAGTTTTAGTAAAATTTAGATTAAAAATTTCAGTTCAACACTAAAGTTACATAAGCAAACTTCCACTAAAATCATGTTTAACCAAAAAATCACATTAAAACATTTTTTTTCAAAAAAAATTCAAAATAAAATCCAATTGAAAGATATCAAATATTGTATGGGTATGCAGAATTCCAAACCAAAAATAAACTAGCACAGTTCTCAAAAGTGTCCAGTATGACTGCCTAGGAGCTGCTATGGGGTGATAACAGGCTAAAAGGGTTAAAGATGTGGCCGCGATGCTGATATATTATGCACTCAGTTACCCTCACTAAAATGCACTGAAGCCAATGGTTGTTTCATATGACTCTTTTGAATTATATTTTTAACATATGCAGAGGATAAGTTTCGTTTATGGAGAAACTGATATCATTTTTTACTCTTATTTTCTCTGTTAAAAGTGTTTTTGGAGAAGTTTGTTTAAAAAGACCCTGTAAGAAACTATTCATTATTTTATTGATCATATCTTAGAATATTTTAGATCATCCTTTAGGATTAATTTCCCTATTTCCTCATTATCTCTTAGTGTTGGTTACCATATTTCCTTATGTCATGATTTATTTCGTTTTTAGGAACTAAGCATTCAGATTGATTTACATATGCTATAGAGACTCGGGTTTCATGAACATATCATGAGATTGTGAAACATTCTAACATACAATGGAATATATTTAATGTCTCTAATCTTTTAATGTACTCCCTTAATACCCAAAATCACATAATTTCAACATCTTATGACTTCTCATTATGACCACGCTTCCAAACTTCCCATTGAGTTTTACTTTATTTTTATAATTCTGCTTTCAAATTAAATTAGTCATCTTTCTTGTGGTGTTATCTTTAAGGTATCATTCCTCTTCTGGAAAAAAAAACATACTTGGTCATCGTCCGTCTAATTTTCAACTCTGATCATTGTTGTGATATCCCAGGAAAGCCGAAACACACTGTCTCCCTCCAATTTCTGTATATTTTAGATAGTTTTCCAACTTCCGTTATCCTTGTGGCAGTTAGAAGAGTATCCCAGTCGTGTTCTTTTATATCATCTCCTTCCAAGACTCTAGTCTCAATCTCCATTTTCCCCACCTTATTTTAGTGATTTCATCATTGTTCAACACAGCCATTCAGCGTTTCTGATAACTTTTTTTTACTGCCACACACCAAACCTGCATCACCATCCTAAGACCTGCCAAACATTGTTAGACCTGACACACCCACACACCTGAGTTCTTTCTAGCACATGTAAAAGCTCAACTTCCAATATGACAGCATGTTCTGGCCACTCTCACCAATGCCAAACTCATGTCATTCTCATTCTACCAGATCAGCAAATCTGCCCTTCATCAGCTTCTGGGTTAATGGCTCCTTTGTCACTATTGTATAACATTTTCTCCCTCCCCTGTTGACTCATGAACTCATTTACTCAGATTTATGCTCTTCAGTTTGATTTGTGCATTGTAGGATACTGAATCATCTTAGGTAGCCCCATAGTTTTCTAGAGATATCAGCTTGGCCCTACAACTTTCCCAGAGATATCATGTTGGCCCCACAGCTTCCCCAGGAAATCATATTTGCCCTCTGGCTTTTCTAATCATACTTGCTCTGCGGCTTTACCAGTGAATCAGCCAGGTCCCATAATTGCAGAATTGCAAATTATATTGTTTGATTTTTATTTTTATTTTTTTCTCTAAAAGGGTCTATTTAAAACAAGCTTGAGGGAGGATGTTGGAATATGTGAAAGTTTACTATTATCATGATCATATCGAAGAATGTCTTTGATAATTCTTAAGGATTAGTGCCCTATTTTTTAATTATTTCTTAGGATTGGCTACCATGTTTCCTTCTCATTTATTTCCATTTTAGATAAGATTAAGATAAACACAGATTAGTGTGTTTTAGGTTTCGTGAACAGTTTATCACAGTGTAATACGTTCATATACTCAACAAAATATCATTCAGAGTCTCCACTCTATCAATTTCCTCAATTTATGCATGAAACCCCTTAATTCAACAGCTGTCTACACTAAAGGTGTATTTTGTCGCCTAACCCCATCTAAACGTATATACCTTCTATTCAAGGGAAAATAACAGACAAATACAGTATTGGAACGTACCTGCCATCAATGATTTACAATCTAGAACCTAAAATTCACTTTGTCCTCTTATTCTATGCTCATGTTCAGACAGCCTCCTATAATATGAACTGAAGTAACGGATTTCCCCGTTATCTCTCTTTATTCTCAGATATTTTGCATTGGGTTGGATGTGCACTTCTATTATATTTATTATGTTTCAAGCATTATCAATTTTAATTAATTTATCTTTTGATATAATGTCATGATTTATTTGCATTTAAATGTTATTTGGTCATGATTTGTTATATTAATCATTTAAGTTATTCTTAAATATCCATATCACTTCAATGATGTGAATTGTTGCCATATCAAGGTGATAAGATTTTTGGGGTGACTGCCTCCACATTTTGCTTCATGACAACTCTGGTTACCATAAATAAAACAATCTTTTTTTCCAAAGTCAAATTGGAAAAAAGGATCAAACAATTTAAACAAACCTTGTACATATTAATGGTGCATCCATCTCCTTCAGTATTGCTTGACAAATGGCATCATCAGGCATACGGACACCCACATTTTTTCTTGAAGCATATTTGGCAGAAGAAGTCCCAAACCTTATGCATTGCTTAGGTAATTCTTTGCTTGCAATTAGGATGAATGTGTACTGTCACTCAATTACAGTTAATCAATAATTGTCGAAAAAGTACACTGCATAGACATTATTGTGTAAGAATGAATGAGTAATATAAAATATGTGATCATCATAGACCTTTAAATACGTACCCACAATAATTAAAGACAAATGAACTGGTATAGACATCCGTTCACCTAACAACTACAATTGTAAAACTTTGTTCCTTAAGATTTTCAGCAAACTAATCTGAAGTTTGTGCTAAATTTTAGGGTTTTGTTCTTTATCTAATATTGGCAAACACAATTCTTATTGAGATCATTCGAATTGGCAAAAAAGGCCAGGAAATATATGATAACCTACTTGATTATATTAAGTAGAGCAGTAACTCAAGGTCACTATAGAAAATGCATGTTACACCAATTAAATTTTCCTCTCCAAAAATCATTGAAGTGTTCATAAATTCATCAAATATTTTTTTTCTTTAGAACCAAAAAGCCTACTTACAGGACCAGGTAAGTGATGCTTAACAGCTTTGAATAAATTCGCATGGCCTTGACCATCACCACGTGGAAATCCAGCTGTGTACTTGTCTATGTCCCGGAATGAATGGCACAAGATGCTAAGAGGCTGTAAGTACAGAGTTACCATAATCATTAATGACTGGAAGTAATATTACCAGAATTAGGTATTACATCAAGAAAATTGCTAATTTGGATCAAACACAATCCAGCCTAAACAAAAGTAAAGTGATTACAAACATTTGGCATGCGCCATAATGTAAAAAGTAGGAGACCAATTGGAAGAACATGTACAATTGACCAAGACAAGTTCCTCACCTTCGAAGCTTCTATATTCTTGATTCTGCAACACAACACAACATCCTATGTGAGATGGAAAATGGAGTATCCAGGAATAGAATGCAAGATTTGCAAAATGCTACTTACCTACGAAGACGTTCAATGGCCGAGTGGATTCTGAGGTCACATACTATAGCATACCTAAATAAACAGAGAAAACCCCAATGCTGGGTAATTATGGACCTACATCAATTTATTTACGCAAAGAGTACAATAAAATGAATGTTAATACATAATAGGATTGTTATATATCACATAACCATATCATAGTTGGCAAGTAGAAACATTTTTTTGCCACAATGATTAAGAATATGAAACACTAAGGTCTAGAAGAAATGTCTGCATAATAAGCCCTAATCAATGTTGTTTAATTGCAGCGGAATGGAGTGGTGGCTTTTACCATTCATCATATGTAATTTGTGAAGGGGACGCAAACAGCCCTAGTGTTGGGAAACCTCACATTGTTTGCTTCAATTATTTAAGTATGACTTATATATTTGTTAAACAAACTTTGCTTAACATTAATTCGTTTTAAGATTAAGTCTGACATAATATTAGAGCCTATAACTCATTTTGCTAGGGCTAGTTAATCATTTCGTTAATTTGTTATGGTTGGTAGGGATATAAGGTTGACTTAGTCGAAAATTGGAAGCGGGAGAGGGATAGGTAGTACGTTTGAGTCTCCTACTAACTAATTAACTATTGACATTTTTCAATTCAAAAAATTGTTATGGTTGGTTACTTGTTGTTAGTGCTCAATAGAAAATATAAATAAGAGCACCATGTACATTTTCTGTATCTCCGATTAATCAATATGTTACCTTCTGATACTTTTTTTTCTACACCTTGCCTATGCCTATGATCTCTATATCTGACATCCTCTTACTATTAACACCATTTCACTTGAGTTCAAACAGCAGCCAGTGCTTTCATCACCACCATAAACAATTTTCACATTGTAAGAACCATAAATATGTGATTTTCTTCATTTTTTCTCCACCTCAACCAGTTCATCCAATGCATTAGGCTATGCAAACGATATTGCAGTTTACATTAAACAAAGTGATGAGTGTTAAAAAACAGGCTGAATAAGACAAAAAAACAACAAAAGCATAAAACCCAGATTCAATGTAATAATACAACGAATAAGATGTATGTCAAATTAACCAAAACGGGCCAAATAAGCAGTTGAGCTACTTCAACAAGAAAAAAGGAAACAATTTGGAAATTGTGCCAGGAGGATTGAGGAGCACTTACAGGGTATCCGTAGGAATGACTCCAACAGCACCTTGTTTCAAGAGATTGACAATTGATTCCAATTTCCAAGAATCAGAGCCAGATGGGTCTGCTTCAATGTACACTAATCCATCCTCCTGTTCATTTACCATTAACATCAGAGTTAAATTTCAATCTATTATCCATATTTTAAACTCTCAATTAATTAGAATCATAATTGTAATGATGTTTTAAGATAATTGTAGTAAAAATCAAAATGTAAAAGTTAACGGTGGCGAAAACAAACCTTGGTGAAGCGAGAAGCGGTGGTGTATTTGAGACGCTTGGGGCTGCGCTTAAATACCATGGACACTATTCGGCTTCTTCTTCTGGGTGGGCAAAACGACAAATGGGTATGCGAAAACGACAGACTAGAGCCGAAGAATGAAACGGCGTCGGAACGCCATAGCCTATCTCCACAAACACAAAGCGTTTGCATTTTGGGTCAACACTGTAATCCGCTTCAGAGAAAAAGGTGAAGAATTTGGAGGAAATGGAACGTGGGCATGCTCTGCTTCTCCAACTTGGAAATTTGCTGTGTGCCTCTAAGCATAAACAACGTGAAAGAAACTTCTGGTTCGGTGGAATCTTTGTGAATCATCGCGTCATTCCTTCAGTGACGCAGTTTGGGAGTTTATCTCTCATCATACGTGGCAACAAATTATATTCTTATTCTTAGAATTTATGGAAGATTAATGAGTTAAGTATGTTTTTGTTAACGAAAACATAAATTATTAATGTGGTGTTACTGAAAGTGAACAATGTAGATGATAATCAAGCAATTGAAAATGTCACAAATATTATTTTAAAATTTATTTTATTTTATCATTCTATCTTTTAAATCTATCGATTTTCACGTTTTAATATTTTTAAAATATATATAAATTATAATTTTTTTAAATTGTAACAAGTTTATTATACTAAATCAATTTATTAAATAATATATTTAAAATAAAAAACACTACTTAAATAAAAATTTAATAGATTTATTTAACTAATTATATCAATTTATTGTTTATGTATAAAATTTAATAATAAAAAATAAATTTTTCTAATATAATACAATTATTTTCTTATTTATTTTTGTATTTTTCTCTCCTCATTTATTTGTTTTTATTCTTTTGTCGACAGGCTTACTTTTCTTTTTCTCTCCGTCTTATTTTGTTATTTATCTTATTATTTTAATTAAAAATACTGAATCAAATTTGATAAAAATAGGTCTTTGATTATTTTTAAAAAATTATCTAAAAATATTATGATTTAATATATTATATTTTAAAAAACATTATATTATAAATTTAAGATATTATAAATTTTATGTTATAATTATTAAGAAAAAATTAAACATTTATTTTAAAGTAACTTTTTAATATATTTTTTTAAATTACTTAAGACTAATTTTCATAATTTAATATAATTATAATTAGATAAATTATTAAATAAAAAATTGTATTTTATTCATAAATTTTGATCTTTTTTAATTAAATAAATAATTTAAAATTAATTATTTGTGCTATCTTAAATAAAATTATTTATTATTATCATAAATAAAATTATTTATTATCATCATAATTTTAAATAATTATTTAATATTATTTTTATTTTAATATTGATTTAAAAAAAATCATATTGACACAGTTTTATTAAATTTTAATATAATAATTTTAATTAAAGGAAGAAATAAAAGAGAAAAGAGAAAAATAAGAAAAAAATAAAATAAATTAGAAAAAACAAAAAATAAGAAGAGAAAAAGAGTAATAAATAAACAATAAACAGGTCTGTTCAAATATATATATATATATATATATATATATATATATATATATTAATAAAAATTATATCTCGAATAAGATTTTTTTTCAAATATATATTATTTATAGGATTTATTTTTAATTAATTATTCATAATATAAAATTGGTACACTGAATTGAGCTTTGCCTTATTTTCGAGTCATGATCAGGATTTAAATTAAACGAGTATATATAAATTTTTAGGTCAATTATTAAACTCAATCCATGTTTTTCTTTAATTGTTACAAACTTTTGGTGTATAAATAAAAGAAAGATAATGCACTTTATCTTTTTAAAATCATGCAATTACAAATAGAAAAATAATCATGTAATTTATGGTCATATTTTTTATTAACTTTTAAATATATTTATAAAATATTACAGAATGGGTATAAGTTTTGTGTTAAATTGTAACTATAAATCTTATTTATAAAATGTTGAATAATACAAAATTATTAATATTTTAAATTTTAAAAAATCATTTTTTTAAAACAATTGATTACACCGAACACCTCTTCAATGTTTTCATTTCTATAAAATAGAAAATAAGAAGTTAAAATAAACAAAAATTATAAATCTTGAAAAATATTAAAATGATAATCGGTTTTAGGAAATAAAAAAAAAATGAAATAGAAAACCTCTCCACGAATGATTATTTTGTTAACATTAAAAATTTGAATAATTATTTATAAATTTATTATTGCGTTAAATTATTTATTATTATAAGTGGCATAACTAATATTTGGATTCAATCAATATCGTAATTTTTAAAAGTTTTATAATTAGAATTTAAAAATAGTGACTTTGAATTTTAATATTCAAAAATCAAAACTAAATATAATTTTATTTTTTCTAAGACTAAAATAATAATTTTAAATTTAGAAATATGAAAAAAAAAACAAAGTCCATAAAAATAAAAACATATTTTTACAATTTTTAACTTACAAAAATTATTCCTTATATAAATAAATTTGATATTATTGATTATAAATAAATAAGTACGATCATTTTTTTGTGGTTAACGAAGTATTTGATAAAGAAATAGAAAAATGCGTTGAAAAAAACAGTTGAAAAAATATTTCATATAAATTTTTTAATTTTGGTAAAATTTAGAGAAAATGTTTTTTAAATTTATTTAATTAGTATAAAATTGATTTTTTTTGTAATGTATATAAATGAGTAAAGTTAGAGTAGAAGTTGATAATTTTATAATTTATCAAGGAACAGACTTTAAATTAACTTAGAGAATATGATCATGAAGTTCCTAATATAAGATAGGTCAATTAAAGCAAATTGAAAAAGTTCAGAGAACCTTATGTTTAAAATTTAAAAAAGACATCATTAGACAGTGGCTGTGAGCACGAGAATAGTAGACTTTTATTTAATCAACAACTTTCTACATTATATTTTTTAGCTTTCTATGGGCCAAACATATACCAAGCACATTCATGAAAATGTCACATGTAATAATGTTGAGATGAAAAAATATTAAGTATTTATTTGAATATTATGTTTGTTTTACCAAATCTGTAAGAAAAGTGGACTATAGTACATCTTTGGCCAATGTAATATTAGAATAAAAATTAAATGAAAAATAGTGAATATGTACTAATATTTAAACCTAAATAAGACAATATATAAAATATTCATATCATTTACTAGTATAGATCTATTTGTTCACAAATATGTAACACTAATATTTTTAATGCATATGTTGAATACAACTAAATATATCCCCTAAATGAAGAAAAACAAACATTTATTACATAAGGAGCCAATAATTACTATTAAGTCAACTAAAAGTACAACATAGAGGTACCAAAGGTTAATGAATAAGATATTTTTAAAACACAACTGTGACATTGGTAGTAAATTCAAATAAAATTGAAGACCATGATCAATACCTTAATCAAGTTTTTGAAGAGGATTGATGACATAATATACATCTCAACCTTAAAAAAGTTTGTGTTATGAAGTTAATGGTCGAATATTTATTGGGTTCATAAAAAATGAAATTGAATTAATCCTCAAATACACAAATAATGACATAACTTCAAATCCTTTTCTCGATAATCTAAAACTAAAGTCCATTATTTTACTATACTTAAAGTAACAAAGTTAACAATAAGTTTTGTATTAGTATCCTTAAAAGGACATAAACAAATTGTAGTGTATTTTATAAGTTAAACTCTTCAATCTATGGAAGAACAACTCAATAATTAAAAATGTAATTATGACACTTGTAGTGGCGGATCTTGACCATTGATCTTGGGAAGACCAAATAATATATTATTAATAAATAATAAATAAATATAAAAGGAAGAAAGAAGATAAAAGAGTGAAAAGATAAAATTGTAGATATATACTTAAATATATTAAACGATCATTAAGTTTTAAAGGAACAAAATCATAAATTACATAAGAGTTACAAACCGAGGAGAGATTGAGAGGATAAAATTGTAAATATACAAGTAAATATAATATTCATTAAATTTGGAGGGCCAAAATAATAAATTACATGGGAGTTACAAAACTTTAGGGGGTCACAACCCTCCTCAACTCCCAAAAAGATTTGTCATTACACTTATAAAATTGACCCAATGGCTTTATCTATACTTTCAAAACTTATTTTTTTTTAACAAATTATTCAATCAAACAAATGTTTCAAAAACCTAAACTAGCTAAGAGAGTGATAATATGAGTTGTAGAACTATTTGAGTTTGGATTACAATATAAAACTTGAGAACATGTGAAGGCACAATTTTTAGTAATTTTTCTAGTTGAACTATCACAAATGAAATAACAACATGAAAGGTGATTAATCATTCAATAAAAAAAATATATGGAACCAAAATAATATTAAAAGGGTAAAATAAAATTGTGTTTGAACAAACACTACATTTTAAATTTCTCATCTCTAATAATCAAGTTGAATATAAGACATTCATAACTAAATTATACCTCGCTAAAGAAATGAGAATAAAATAATTATGACGCAAAAGTGATTCTAGTTAAGTGAAATAATTGGGAGTTTAAAGAAAAGAATTCTTATGAAAAAGAACTATTTCCTTTTTTAAAATTTAATAAGTAATTTCAAACATGTTTATAGAGAACATATTCAAGAAAGCAATGAAAGAGTTAATGTCCAATTAAAGTAAAATGAGAAAATAAGTTTTAGGGAATTAATCCAAACAAATAAATTCTTAATAGGATTGTAATATATTTTTTTAATAAAATCTTAAAATAATTTTTTTCTTGTCGAAATTTTTGACCCCCCACCAATTCTTCCTTCCCTCTACCCTTGTTATCAAAGTTGGCTAGTACATAAAAATTAAGACTATATTGAACCTTCTATCAAGAAAATCTTCACATCACCAAGCTATGAATGCAATGATGTATTTAACATTAATGACAGAAAATCGAGTTAGATGACTCCAATCAATCAATATTTTGACATAGAAAACGTTATCCACTAATATGAGTGAAGCTAAAAAATAATGAGAACATCAACCTTTTATATCCTCAAAGGACAAGTTATTCGAGAAAAGTTTATCACAAACTTTACTCAAATGTTTAGACTATGAATAAACTCAATATATTATCGATAAACTAAGTAATAGAATTTATAAAATACATTTAAAAGCACAAA